ACTGAATTCAACCATGCACGTAAGTTGATACTCGTATTATGAAGCTGTTCCAGACCTTACACCGCTGAATGGAGCTTAAATTCTCAAAACGACCGGCCGGGTCGTTATATGTGCTAAACCGTCGCATTGAAGAATATGAGGGACGGGAGGCTCAGATGGGGAACGCCCTCAACACTACCCAGATGTGGTTGCAGAATTGTCACGTGAATATGGGGCAAGCTAGAGAGCAAGTACTTCAATTGGCAGAAAAAGCAGCATATATTCATCATGATCATCGCCATCTAAACAATGAGAAAGTTGGTAAACAGGCACGTGCCATCGTCCCACAGTTGCCAGCAGTGTTTCAAAATTTGTACGAGACTTTGGGGGGAGAGTGGAGGCCAAGAGATGCAGACCATTGATGATATCAGTTTAAGCAAGAAGACCATAGAAGATTAAATTTTTAGTGCAGTCAATTAGTTCTTAGTGTCATTTTCATTTGTCGCATTTTAATTTTATATTTGGAGTCTTTTATTCTTATCAAAGTTTGTTTTATTCCAGTCATGTTTATGTCATTAGAGTTAGTAGAGTCAGATTCTATATATATTTCATTTTCTCTCATTGTATATAAATTTTTTTTACTGAAAATGAATGAAAATTATTTTAGTTTGTTTTATTTTATTTTATTTTTATTAAAAAAAATTATTATCAAAATTGTTATTATTTTCCCCTGAACTATGTAATGGTTTGATTTGGCATCATGATACGTAGGCAATCCTCATCGGATGCGATCATAGTCATAATTAATCATAAAAAAAATTGAGAAAAAAAATAATAAAAAGAGAGCGTTAAATTCAAGAGGAAATAAATCAATAAGCCGGGATGAAGCATGAAGCCTTACAAGCTCATTTTAAATGAAAATGGCATTAGATGCATGACATATAATGTGTGATTAATATCTGCAAAATGTCTAACTCTAACACGTTTGTTGTTTGTCACAAAAAGATAAAGTTAAACAGAGGTGGTTGGTTTGTGGTTCAAACTGGCGACTCACCCTTACAACACGAGATCTAAAGGAAAAGGTAGAATGGCAAACAACAGTGAGAATGAGTTAGATAATGATGATGTCCATGGACAATTGGTCAAACAAGGTTCGGGACTGGTTGAAGAAGTAAGAGTGTTGAAGCAACAATTAGCAGAGATGTACCGAGCTTGGTCGAATGGACAGGCAACGCCCCCACTACCTATAGGACCTTCGGATAATCTTCATAATGTGTCAGTTGCAAATCAAGTGCCCATCGGTCATCTCCATAACAAGTAACCCATTGTACCAACCTGGATTCAGTCCGAGCATTTACCTTCCCACTATCCCCAGTACCTCCATTCCACATCCTTCAACCGCACCCCTCAGAAATGACCAACATACTGTACCCATTATCCCTACTTTCACCGTTCCTCAACCGGCTCTCGCTCAAAAGCTCAACAATGATCCACAACTGAATGCTCATGATGCCTAACATTACTCTCCAGAACTGACTGTCAAGGTTCCAGATTCATACAAGCATACTCCTCAGAACATGTTCCCCGTTGAGATCGAAAAGCCCGACAAGAATATGGAACAAGAGGAAATGACTAGAAAAATGAAGAGCCTGGAACAAACCGTGAGAAACATACAGGGTTTGGGAGGCCACAAGAGTGTTTCGTTTAACGATCTATGCATGTTCCCCCATGTTCATTTGCCACCTGGCTTCAAGACCCCCAATTTTGACAAGTATGATGGGCATGGTGATCCCGTTGCCCATTTGAAGAGGTATTGTAACCAATTAAGGGGGGCGGGAGGCAAAGAAGAATTACTCATGGCTTATTTTGGGGAAAGTTTGACATGAATTGCGTCAGAGTGGTTCATAGATCAAGACATATCTCACTGGCATGTTTGGAACGACATGGCTCAAGATTTTGTCCAACAGTTTCAGTACAATATTGATATAGTTCCAGACCGCTCCTCTCTCGTCAACATAAAGAAGAAACCAACAGAGAGCTTCAGAGAATATGCGATCAAGTGGAGAGAGCAGGCTGCTAGGGTCAAACCACTAATGAAAGAGGCAGAAATGATTGACTATTTTCTCCAAGCTCAGGATCCTGATTACCTCCATTATATGTTGGCCACCATTGTTAAACCTTTTGCTGAGGCGATTAAGATTGGGGAAATAGTTGAGAATAGCATGAAGTTGGGCAAAATTGTAAGTCAGTCAGACCTTAAAGCGACCACGCAAGCAATTCAAAACCAGTCAGGCAGTTTCAGAAATCGAAAAAAGAAGGAGGAAGGATCCATGATGGCATCTGGGTTTGGGGGAGTTCAAAGAGGAATAGTTCCTTCTTATGTGCAGTTCCAACAAGGACAATCCAATTCTCCTCAACATTACTATCCGCCTCAGGGTCCCCGGTACTCAGTTCCCCCACAACAATACACAGTGTTTAATGCTCAGGCTTATGCTAGGCCTCCCAATCATCGACAATGGAGGGCACCGATTCCTCAAGGCTCCCGTCAACTCCGCCCGAATTTTCAGATGCCATATAATCCGCGTCCCCGACAGGAATATGTGAGAGAACAGGAGCCAAAGAGAGAGTTCACCCCAATTGGAGAATCGTATACAATCCTATTTCGAAAGTTGATGCAGTTGAAGTTGATTGAACCTATCATGCCGCGTTATGTGAATCCAAATTCAAAAGGTTTTGACTCAAATGCAAGATGTAAGTATCACTCTAACACCCAAGGCAATTGTGGTAACAAATAATGAGGATACTCCTAATATCACAAACAATCCGCTCCCAGCTAATGATAATACACATTTTATTTGGGATGATTTATGATGATCGGGATTATAAGCAGTCTGGCAAGACAGAGATGGTTGTTGGAACCATAGGGCAAGAGCCAAAAGTGATAGTAAGCCTGCCACCATTGGCACCGTTGATTGTGAAAGGTGTGAGTTCTAGTTCAAACTTGGCAGGATCTGAAAAACGATTCTCTATGTCCCTGGAAGCACAAAAAAGGTTGAGGTTCAATTGGGTGGGCCAAAAGTTTACATCCCTGGGGGCATTCAAAAGATCGTTTTGAATAATGGTTTGAGAAATATAACAGAGTCAGTTGTGATCCGACCTGTTGCACAATTCCCAGTGACAAACACAAAAGCTATTCCATGAAATTATAACAAGATTGTCATGACATATAAAGGAAAAGAGATATTTAAAAAAGCAGATGAAATGGGGGGCTTGACCCGCTCTAGAAGGTGCTATTCACCAGAGGAATTGATAAAAGCTAAGCAAGCCAGGGAAAGTCACTTGCCAGTGAAAGAACCCGTTGCAGAAAAAGAAGCGGAGGAATTCCTTAAGAAGATGAAAATGCAAGACTACTCAATCATTGACCAACTAAGGAAATCCCCTGCTCAGATATCTTTGTTATCTCTGCTTTTGCACTCGGAAAAGCATCGCCGTGTGTTGATCAAAACTTTGAACGAGGCATATGTCTCAGAAAAGACAACGGTGAATCAGCTAGAAAAAATGGCCGAAAGATTCTTTGAAGTGAATAGAATTTCTTTTAGCGATGATGATTTGCCTGAGGAAGGGGCTGGGCACAATAAAGCTTTGCATCTTATGGTCAAATGTGAAGGGCATTACGTAAAAAGAGTCATGATTAACGGAAGCTCAAGTGTAGATGTATGCCCTCTTTCTACTCTGCAACAGCTGAACATTGACACTAACAGAATTCGAACTAGTAGTGTCAGCATCATAGCTTTTGTTGGTTCAAGAAGAGACACTATTGGGGAAATCGAACTCACCATGACAATCGGCCCGGTTGATTTTAACATTGTCTTTCCAGTGTCGGATATGAAAACTTCCTATAATTTTCTTCTGGGAAGGCCGTGGATCCATATGGCCAGAGCTGTACCATCCACCCTGCATCAAATGGTCAAATTCGAGTATGACAGGCAAGAAATTGTTGTTCATGGGGAGGACGACTCATCCGCCTATAAAGACCCTTCCATTCCATGTATCGAGGCCATGGAAGGATGTGAATCTATCATATATCAAGCATTTGAGGTGATTGAGGTGGACCAAGTGGAAGAAAGAAAACCAATTCTGCATCCCCGCCTTTCAGCCACATCTATGATGGTAGCTTCGCTGATGTTGAGGAGCGGCTATGAACCAGGAAAAGGATTAGGATCCTCTCTGCAGGGAATTATGAACCCCATTGCTCCCTTTTCGAAGAAAGATACCTTTGGCTTGGGTTTTAAACCAACATCAGCTGACATAAACAAAGCCAAGGCCCGCAAAAAGAATGGTTGGAATTTGTCCAAACCACTCCCTCACATTACTTACTCTTTTGTCAAGCCACAATTTGAAGAAGTCCAAAACCATTCTACTCAGGATGACATTGATGAAGTTTGTCAGGGTCTCAAGGAGATGTTCAATGAGATCAATATGGTTCAAGTTGGTGAGGGCCCTAGCCGTGCAAGTGTTCAGTTGATTGGTCCAGAAACCTCGCTCAACAACTGGGAAGCAACTCCTCTTCCCATCAGGAAGGAGTCTTGGTAGCCTGTTTTGTTGCTTTTTCTGTATTTGGATTATTTTCAGGGTTAATCCAGATATTTTATTTTAATTGCTTTGCTTTGATGTTAACCCTTCTATCCTTTCAAATTCAATGAAATGAAGTTCTAGTTTCATAGTAGAATTCTGTCTTTTCCTTTCCCTAATTTTTGTTAATTTCTTATCATTTTCAGTTTCGTTAATGCTGGCTTTAAAAACATGACATGCACGCAGAATTCATGCCCAGTACTTAAAAAGTTATCTAATCTCGAAATAATGGATCAAGAAGTTGAGTATGATGAAGATGAGGCTCTTAAGAAAATAAAAAGGGAATTGAATCAATTTGAGAATAAGCCTAAGCCTAACTTAAATGAAACTGAGGCAATTAACCTTGGAAGTCCTGAAGAAACCAGAGAAACAAAAATAAGCATTCATACTGAACAAAAGACGAGAGATGCCATAATTCAAGTTTTGTTCGAGTATAGAGATGTATTTGCTTGGTCATATGATGACATGCCGGGTTTGAGTGCCGACTTAGTGGTCCATAAGCTTCCCACATACCCTAATTTTCCACCAATCCAACAAAAACAAAGGTAGTTTATGATAGACATGACTGATAAGAATAAATAAGAAATCACGAAGCAACTAAGTGCAAATATGATCAGGGTCGTCCGATATACTACATGGTTAGCAAATGTTGTGCCGGTTCCAAACTTTCTACCATTTTCAGATTCTCCATTCCTTTTCTACAATTTTGAACTCTCCACCCAGTTTTAACCACCGAAACACAACCTCCACGGCATGGATAAAAACCCAAACAGTTACGATCAACAGGCCCAACAACAGCAATTGTAAACAACAACAAATCCAGAATTCTCAATTTTAAGATCCCTATCCTTCTGCAAACAGAGAAACAAATCAGAAATCTTGAGAATAAAAATACCAATTACACAAGAATTGAAGAAATTGCTTGGAAAGAGAAATACAATATAGAGAAGAAAGTGAATTGAAAAAAATAACTTACTGAAAATTCAAGAATTATTTTTGAGAAGTGGGTATGATTCAAATTTATTTTATTTTATGTGATTTATGGGTCTGATTTGGGGGGAAATGGTATAGACAATTGGAGGTATATGCGAGAAGATGTTGGAAGTGATGGTAGAAGAGGAAAAGGAGGCGACGGCGGCAAAGATGGTGGTGGAAGGAAGCGACGGCAACGTATGGACATGACTGGTTTTGAAGAAGAATGGGTCTTCAAGTGTGGGTTTGAAGATAAGTTGGGTGTTGTTTTACTTTTTACTTTTCTATTATTTTATATATTTTTTATTTCAATTTTTTCTTCTAAAAATTAGAATCACAAATTCATGCGTTTTTTGCACTGAGTGTACCGAACATTTTATCCACCTCAGCTTTATCTATACCACATAAGCAAGGTCAACAGTCAGAAAGGTTTAAGATAATAGTTTTGAACGCATAGAAGTGTCGGGATGAAAAAGAGTGAAGTAGGAGGATCGGCACGATAAAGTGACACTAGTATAGGTGCCATTTAGGCCATTCTGTCTTTTTTTTAATGACAAAGTTATGAGGATTTTGCTAGGCTTTTGGAAGGATTTGAGTGGTAGCAGCTCAAAAAGCAGCTTTGGTTTTGCTATAAAAGATAAAGCTTCATAGTAATATAAAGGTGGGTTCTATAATCCGGTGTGTAGTTTTCATGTATTATGTGGTTCTTTGGTTATGTCTTAATTCTGAGTAAATGTTAAAGTTGGTTGACCTTTGTTGACTGTACAATTCTTGTTTGAACATGTTAAGCTCAATTAATGGGTAAAAATTGTATCTTTAAAGGGTTTTTGTAATACTATTAGTTAGCTGGTGTTTCAGCAAAATGCTAGCTCAAGTGAATTTGCTATTGTTATTGGCAAACTTTTTATTGCTATATAGAATAGACTATGGTATTTCTGAATTTTAACCTAGATATGATTGCTTGTGTAAAAGTTGAAAAGGAGTTTTAAGGCAATGGTGGACTACAGTACATGCTCTGGAACAGCTTTAATTTCTAATGAAGAAAAGGCTATTTATGAGCCTTGTTGAGCTATGTTACCTGGAAATGTGTTTCATTTTATTCTTAATCTTGATTGAAGCACATAAAACAGCATAATTCACATATGCAAAACGGTTTCACCCTCATGGAAGAAGAAGACAGCTCAAAGATGGAAGTGAATAATACAATTCGCACGGATTATAACTAAATCCCTTGATTGAAGGCACTAATAATAGATTGTGAGCCTTTTAAGGTGGATTGTATATATTTTGTAACTAAAATGTGTTTAGGTCGGGTAAATACTAAAACATGAACATTTTTCGTAATATGGTTTCAAATAGTATATAGCTATGTAAAAATCCCAAAAAAATCTAAAAAGTTCTGAACAAGCACAACCGAAGAGGTAAACAATCACTGCATGCACGTATTCGAATTATTCAGCCCAGTGAGTTGCGAATATCGAATAATTAAATATAAAATAAAAAAAACAAGCTGGAGACTCATGAAATAGGAGTAATTTAACTCTAGAAAGCAGATAATTAGTATAACTGTTATAAGTTAATTTTACTTAATGGTATTTGAAACTTAGGTGGTAAGGTTTGCAACAACTTTATGCAAAGAAAAATAAAACTGCAATCACAAACAACTACAAAGAAAAAAAGATTTTATTGATAAACATTGTAGGTTACAACTATGTTTATCCTTTGATTCTTCCCTCCAATTTTTCCTTTAATTCTTCCCTCCGATTTATTCTACGTGATTTGAGGCCCTTAGCGGCGTATTTCTCGAATGTAGGACTTTAAGCAAGACATATTTGATACGTCTTTGATCTCATAATGAATATTCCGAGAGTTCATGGAATTGCTGAGATCCTCTTTGATGGACATATGTAGCCTTATTTATAGGCATGAATTAGGGTTAGGGTGGAGTAGCCACCAAATAACTCGAGTAGACTCCTAATATTTCAAAAGATGTTTTGAATTTAAAATTTATCTTGATCTGTTAAAATTGCAGTGTCTACTGTACTATTAAATGAGATTAAAATTGATTTTAGGTTTTTAGATAGAACTGATAGTATGAATTATAGAGGCAATGGTACGTTCAGTTAGTGGACAATAGAATATGATTGTAACGCAGAACTGAAAAACAACAAAGCTTGAGATGAAAGGTAACAAACACGACAAAACTTGCTCGGGTTGGATCCACACATCAAGTCATATTAAAATATAATAAAACTAAGTGATTATATTAAAGTAAGAATACATAGTAAGTAATCATTAGTAAGAAACGATTAATTATGTATATAATATACATGTCATGTAGAGTACTTATCAACTTGATTAGCATACAGGCACGGCTTTTCAGGGATTTCTCTACCTGGTCGGTAGAGTTGATGCTATATTTTGTGTACCTATCTACTAAGTTATTCATCAAAATCTATCAGATTGGCATACTTCTGCTCTTCAAGGGTTTCTATACCTGGCCGGTAGAGTTGATTCTATAATTTGTCTACCTATTTGTTAGTTCATCGAAGTATACCGTATTGACATACTTTTTCTGGGTTGTTTTAATAAAGTATTTTTTGAATTTGCAACTTCAATTTCGATCAAACCACCCCAAATGTGATCCAAATGATCTCAAATTTGAAATAAAGCTTTCAAATACCAACATAAATATTCCTCACTACCAATTTCGTCGAATAACACTAAATCAAAAAGACCCACTTTATCTTCTTCAATACTTTCTAAGGTCCGATAATGAAGTTTTGAGATTTTTCTAGTAAATCACCAAAATTTGTGTTTGAACTAAAATTTTAAACACAACTTATCAACATTCAAATGGTTTTAACAATAATCGATTATTAACTTTTATTTTCTACTAACAAACAAGAATTTCAAGCTCTAAAAATTAAAGGATTATGGTATTCAAGTAAAAAAAAATGAGACATTTTGCTAAGACCATAAGAAAAGAGAAAATCCCGCTAAGACCACTCCCTTTGAGGGCCATACCACCCTAATTTCTGTTTGGGGTATTATCACTTTTAGTCCGCGCCAAAAACTATTTAGATCTAGTAGCCTATTTTTACAACGGCTATACAGTGTTATTTTTCCTTTTTGTTTCAACTAGGTCGCTAGGTAAATTTTGCATATGCGCATTATTCTTTCAAGTGTGTCCTTCAATACTTCAGTTTCGTCATTAAAAATAGCACGGGCTAGCTAGTTTTCGGACTGGTCATTCAAAAATAGCCAGTGTTTGCAAAGTCATTGAAAAATAGTCACTATTTTGCTGCAACAGGGACCGGTCCAGCATAATATACTGGAGATTGGTGCACCTGTGTATGAACTTCCAGCATATTATGCTGGAACTCCAACACGCGAAAAGTTCCAGCATAATATACTGGAGATTGGAGCACATGTGTATGAACTTCCAGCATATTGTGCTGGACCGATATACTATACTGAACTCCAGAATATTATGCTGGAGTTCCAGTATACTTATGCTGGAACTCCATTATAATATGCTGGAGTTCCAGTATACTTATGATGGAACTCCAGTATAATATACCGGTCCAGTATAATATGCTGGAGTAATTTCCAGATTTTGAACAGTGTTTTCGTTCAGATTTATCTTTACATGAAAAATAGCCAAATTTCGATTACTTTTGAAACTGTGGCTATTTTTGAATGGCCACTTGTAAATCTCGCTATTTTTGAATTTCAGTCCAGTATAATATACTGGAGTATTTTCCGGATTTTGAATAGTGTTTTCGTTCAGATTTATCTTTACATGAAAAGTGGCCAAATTTCGATTACTTTTGAAACTGTGGCTATTTNCCTCCAATTCACTCCCGAGCCCTCGGGGCTCCTAACCAATCACACACACTAACTCAATAACATCCTACGAACTTACTCGAGCGATCAAATTGCCAAAATAACATCAAAATCATTGAATCAAGCCTCAAAATCATCATTTTCCTTTCAAACTTCATAAACTTCAAACTTTAGATATTTAGGTCCGAAACACGTCAAACGACGTCCGATTTCGACCAAACTTCACAGAAAGCGCTTAAACAATATATAAGACTCGTACCGGGCGTCGGAACCAAAATACGAGCCCGATACCACAGTCTTTTAATAAATTTTCATTTCCATTTTCCTTAATAATTTCAGAAAAATAATTTCACAGAAAAATTTATTTCTCGGGCTCTAGACCTCGGAATTCGACTCCGGGCACATGCCCGAGTCCCATATTTTTCTACGGACCTTCCGGGACCTTCCAATCTTGGGTCCGGGTCCGTTTACCAAAAATGTTGACCGAAGTCAACCTTAAACATATTAATATCAAAATTCTTCAAATTTTTCATAGAATTCACATATTTCAACATAAAAGCTTTCCGGCTACGCGCCCGGACTGCGCACGCAAATCGAGGCAAGTAAAAATAAGGTTTTCAAGGCCTCGGAAGCACAGAATGAATGAGGAAACAGGTGATGACCCTTTGGGTCGTCACAGAGCCGCAGATGCGGAAATAACTGGTCAGAATAGTTTTATTTCCCTTCGCGAATTGTTGAAAGGGTTTCATATTTTCACTTCGGACTTGGAGAATTTGGGCGAGTTGGAGGAGAGGAATCAAGGGACTTCATTGAGGTAAGAATTTCTAAACCAAAAACACGATTTTATGGTGCAAACACATGAAATTAGACTGAAAACTCAAGGATTTAAGGTAAAAAATGGTGGTTTAGGGCTTGAAACATAAGAGAACAAAAATGGGAATTTGAGGGGTCATTTGGACTCCGATTTTGGTGTTCTTTATATGCATGGACTCGTGGCGAGATAAGGAATCCGGTGATGTGAATTTTATAATTTTTCGGGAAGTGGGCTCGGGGCTCGGGTTTTGCCAACTTCGTGATTTTCGATGTTTTTCGAGTCTTTTCGATTGGGTTATATTCCATTAGCATATTGTGACATATCCATTGTGGTTTTGGTCAGATTCGACGCGCGAAGAGGTGAATTCGAAAGGCAAGGGCATAGCAAGCTAGGACTTTGGCCGGCTTGAGGTTAGTAATAAATGTAAATGCTGTGTTGAGGGTTTGAAACCCCGAATTTGCACAACGTAGTGCTATGTGAGGTGACTTGCACGCCGGATAATGGGCGTGGGGTAGAGCACCGTCGGGGATTGTGACTTGGTCTGTCCCGCTTAATAAAAAATTACTACCTATTTGTTTGTAGTTTCGTGATATCCTTATAAAAATGGATTAAATTGTTATCATTGGGCCTTGTGCCAACTACTTGAATCCTTCAGGGATTATTTTTACTGGTTTCTTACCATATTCATAAATATTAAACTCAGTCCTAGTATTTAATACTGTTTTGCAAACTCGGCCACCTTTTCTCAAAACTTGGAACTTAAGCAATATTTTTAATGAAGTTTAAGCTGAATATTTTTATACTGTTGTGTGATTTTTGGACTGAGTATGGGATCGGGCTGCACGCCGCAGTGGTTTAATAATGATATTGATATGAGGCCAAGGGCCTGTTCGATGCCACGAGATGGCTTATTATTGCGCTTGGGCCGTAAGAGGCCCCTCCCGGAGTCTGCACACCCCCAGTGAGCGCCGTCGACGTTAAATAAATGGAGCGGGCTGCACGGCCGCAGCGGGGTACTAGAGGTACCGGTTTATGTGTTGCATTGCATATTTAACTGTTATTTATTTCTTCATCTGTTGTGATGTTTATTCTAACTGTATTGCTGTTTAATGGTATTATTAGCTTTACTTTGTGTTTATTTAGGATTTCTTATCCTTAGACTTTATTTATATTTATTATTTTCTGAGTTGGAAGTACTCACAATACTCCCTGCACCTTGTGTGCAGATTCAGGTACACCACAGGGTGAGTGAGGACTTGTGTCAGCTGAGCAGCATTATCCGGGAGTATCAAGGTAGCTGCATGGCGTTCGCAGCTCTGATCTCTCCCATCTATCTTTATTATTTTATTC